GCGTGGATGAGGACGGACACTGTCCTCACGGCCGACCCAGGCGGACAAAAATTGCATCCATTTGCGCCGGCACATTAGAGTTGGCCTAAACCCTAAGCCCTAAGGCTAACTATAACCGACGGATGCAAATGAATGTCCCTTTTGTCCGTTTGGATCAGCCAGGCAGACTCGAGCGTCCGTTTGCGTCGGTCGGCCCATAATTGCGGCCAAGGCGGACGACACATTTCACAAATTGTAAAAAAAAATCATGCATACCAAAAGTCCACGTCCACGACCGTGTATTAATCTTAAACATTAAAATACATAAAAAAGGCATAAAAATAACTACTAAACCCTAGATTTAACACTAGTCGTCATCATCGCTGCCATCCATGGTGACCTTGACGAACGGAGGTGGCTACCACAGGTGGGCCGGCGGCGCCTGCACCATTTGTGCACGCGGCGGTGATGGCGACCACTCATCCCACGGCATGAGCAAGGCCCACATGTACTCTGGCATGCATAGTAGCGTCGACGTCCACGTCCATGAATTCCCCACCAACATCGGGTCCCAGGTCGCTGTCGGCGGCTCCAGCACAACGTCGGCCTCCGGCTCCGGGACGGCCACATCGCTCGCGGCCGACATGGCGAGCTGCACGTCTAGGCCTTCCCACTGGCTGCGTTCGTACTCGAGGACCGAGTCCTCGAGCACCTTCTTCAGGAGTTCCTCCTGTTCAGCGTTGAGGGCTGGTAGTGGTGGCGGTGGGGATAACGAGCGTGTATGTGCGCACACCCGCGCATGCCCATGTATACGGGGTGGGCTGGGAGGACGTGTATGGGAAGGGGCTAGAGCAGGTGCGTGCGGTCACGACGGGCTCGCAGCACGGGGCCAAAGACACTCGCGACGGTTGATCTCTAGTAGACGGGCACGTCTGCTCGTCGGGATGGTCGCACGGACACCCAATCGAGGATGAGATGCCACCTATTTGGCCGGTGCACGTCGGGCCACGACGATGGGGTGGCCGTGTCCCAGTAACGATGTCAGACCTCCATATTCACGTACGGCCTCTACCGCGGTGTGGCGGCGGGCGGCAAGATCGAGAAGCCTACGGCGCTCCTCGAGCCTGATGAGGCAGAAGAAGACCCGGCTTCAGCGTCATGCATGCTTCGTGGCCGCCCCCGAGATCCACTTCCACATCCCGTTGTGTCTAGCGTCGACGAGCGGCATGGGCGGCGCAACCTAGGACCTATCGGGCGCGACGAGGGGCAGAGAAGTGTGTGGATGTGGACTGGTCGGTCGACGGGTTGCCATTAGAAAGGACCTCGGCGGGGGCGGCCGGGTAGCTGACATACTGGTCCGTCCATGCGTGCGGATTAAATAGGACTGGTGGGAGGTGGCTGGACAGCTGAAATGTGGGCCCACCAAAAGACCCGCACACATTCATCCAGACCAATGTCTGTCTGGACGTAAATTCAGCTCAAATTTGTGTCAGAAATAAGTGCAAAATAACATGATGTTGCCAAATTTTACGGTTGACACCATCCAAACACGGAGGCCATGCCACTGAGGACAGAGATGTACCAAATGCGGTGCTAGAGGGAGTTGACCTAAGGCTCACACACGGAGGCCATGCCACCGAGGACATAAGCCCATGCCACTCCATCGCGGTGGCACCTCAGCTCCCTTCCACGCGCGATTCCGCGCCGTCCAGCCTCGCGACTCGAGAGTACACCCCGCGCCGGCATTTCTCTTGTCCGTTCGTCTCCGTGGCCGCGTGGCTGTCTTTGGTTCGTGCAACGCGTGTGGTTCGCTGTCCGCCTGCCGTCACCGCCGCCCTCCACATGGCCGCCTCCCATTCGCGTTAGGAAGGAAGCCAGCGGCCGCCTTTGCTCACACCAAGAAGATTCGGACGCCGTCATTCGAAGAATCTCGATACACCAGCTTGTTTTTCTTTCTCGATACGTACATCAGGAGCCGCATCAGCACCGGAGTTTTCTCTTTTCCCCGTTCAGCCCGGGAACCGGTCGTGCGCATGCATCAGCAATGAGTAGACCAGACTCAGACACACATATTTCTCGGTGAGGACTACGTCTACGCTGGAGGCTGGACACAGTCCTACTACTAGTACTATTATTCAGGCAGCACTAGCTTAAGGCTGGTCACAATGGGAAGGAATTTAGGAGTAACATCACACACTCCAATACAACTTTGCTTACGTGTCACATATTTAATGAAGAGAGAAGTGCTTGTGGTAACTAGCTAAGTTACCGGAATATCACACACTTTAAGAAACAATGAGTCTATAACCTAATAAATACATTGTTGCATGACACTACATAGATGTTCCTACCCACTGCGGAGGTAGTAACATAGTCTAGGAAAGTGTGTAAGTTACTAGACTATGTTCTTACCCATTGTGACCAGCCTAATTAATTGTAGATTAGATGATGGCAAGAAGGACTAATCAGATCTTGGAACTTTGACTCATCATATTTCAACACATCATTGGCACCACTGCAGGCGCTTCCAAAAGAAAGGCTATATCCGCGCCTGCGCTCCGGAGGCCACCCTGGAATTCGGTCTAGTGTCGCCCATTTCGGAGCTTGCTCCGTCTTCTGTTCTCCACATGCCGGCAACTTCTCGGTCTACTTTTCAGGGTAGAAGAAAGAAACCAAAGAAAAATGCACGGTGGCCTGGCCACCACCCTCCCGGCCTGCTTTCCGCACGTTTTCTACTTTCTCTCGCACCAATTGGCAGGAGCATAAACCCAAGAGGATAAACCGCCGGACAGGAAATAATGCTGAGAGCTGCAGTAGTGGTACCTGTATACTACTAGTCGACCACGATTTTTTCCTCCGAGTCCGAGCTGATCCATCACGGGCATATATCGCCGGGACCTGTGACTTTGTGAGGCATTTCAACGTGATAAACGGCAGCCACATCTCATGTTCTTCGAAATGCTATAACAAAAATTCCGATTCCGAAAGCGGCGTCCATGAGCTCGACGGAGAACGGATCCATGTCGATTTCAGGCCCATGACCCCTCATGTACTCATCTTTTCCGTGCCACACCGCATTGGTCCATACCGATGCCATACCTGTACCGCTAGAAAATCCCCGCACAAATCCACACCCACAGACGCAGTCAACTTCATAATATCAGCTTTAATCTATATAAGTCGTCAACCATTTATGTCATGTCCAAACGGCGCTAATCAGTTTTCCCCGCATTAATAAAATATCAGACACACCACACCTGTTCCGGCGGCCGGCGTGTGAGCAAGCCTAACCTAAGAGGAAAGCGACATGATCTGCAATTCTGGATAAGGGTTATCGCAATTATCACTCTTGTCGACATACACATGCTGGACATGCCGAGAGCCTCAGGCTCATTTCGCCTCCTGATGCCGAGAATCTCTTTTATTTTCGCTGCCGAGAGGCCAGCATCGGATTAGGATACAACAAAAGCATTGATGAAGAAAGGGATGCGTTTTGCAGATAGGCTCGGCCGTGAACCGTCCAGAAAGATCTCCCCCTTGGAAGGGTCCGGGGTCGCCAAGCAGGCTGCTCACAGAGTTGGTAAGCAATGGCTCCAATTCAATTATTATGAAATGAAACATCATCAGTTTTGTTGCAGCAGTTCCATTATCATTGAGAGCAGAGTGTCTGGCGAGCATCACATATTATCTGCTCTGCTAAAGATAAAGAAGCCATGGATAGACGACGAGCGAGCCAAGCAAATATGAAAAGAACCGGAGATTTTTTTATTATGTGTGTCTCTGTGTGTGATGGATGCTGATGTATTTGCATTCGTCCTGTATGTCCGACGGCGAGGCATGAGAAGGACACGTACGCGAGATACCTATCCGCTGGTGGCAGTGGTGGCTCGCGGAAGCAAACCGGAATTTTCTTCCCGCGCCACGGTCATGGGGCCAATCCCACATATAGTACTCGTTTTTCTTTGTTCCAAAGGGAAAATTGGGTGGTGGCATCATAGCATCATCATATAACTAATTTGCGAGCGAGAGAGCAAGCGATTAGCTCAGCTATCTCCAAATTGTTGGGTTGATTTCTGCTGTCCTTGTTGCTTGTTTGGCCAACCACCCGGCGTCACCATGCTTGCTGCTAACTCAACTGTCATTTTTTCCCATTAAGAACAAAAAGGAAAGGGAAAACTCAACCATCTCACAAGTCAACCCACTTCTTTTAGACCAACTAACTATATGAGGCAACCAAAACGGGTTAACGGAACAGTTTCTTCCTTTCGAAAAGCGCTAATGAAACAATTATGCAGAAGAAATCCTGTCTAGACAGTATTTTCTTCTTGGTTCTTTCAGGAGTAGTGGTTGATTAGTGCATCAGTTGGCTGTGGTGATGGTGGACCGGTGGTTGATAATGCGGCGTACTTGCGGAGTTGGAGTCATACATGTTCTTCTCAGCTTATCGCCTGTCAAATCTCCAATTTTGGCGCGTACGTGCGTGCGAGCGAGCGAGGTCCCTGGCCCTTTGACAGATGCCGCCTTCTGAGGGGGAGTGACATGACAATTTTGGCACAAATTTGACATTCGCAACGGGTGGCCAGAGAAAAACAAGAGCCGGACAACAAGATTGGCAGGGTGAATATACTACTAGTACTGTCAGCACTGCTTACAGTTGCAGGTCGACAGAGAACGGAAGTATAACTGAATAACGGTATAGTGGGTTGCTGTCGCTGCTGGGCCGAATTGACCGCTTGCAAGTTGCAAAATTGAAAACAATGGCGTGTAGGAAGAACGAGAAGCAACGACGAAATGTATGGAGGCAAACTTGTTTTCTTCTCTTTGTGGTGTCATGCCGGAACATGATCATTCTATCCACATGTACATCACACACCTATAAAAATCTGTACAGTTTTTACTCCGAGTAAGAGTAGGAGTGACCGGGAGGGAGACGCTGGGAAAACTTGCGACGACGCCACGCAAGGAAGACGGCACGTCGCTAAAGGTTGGAGGGGGAAAAGTCCACCGTGCCGGCCCAGGTGTCAGCATGAGCCCGCCGGCTGCTGCGGCGGCTTCGTCTGCCGCGACGACGCGCTGCTCTCGCCAACGCCGGCGAGCCCCATCTCTATGTCTCTGGCAGCGTCTTCTTCCTGAGGCGCTGGGGGCGGCGACGCGCCGCCACACCCGAGTAGCCGCCGCAGCCCGCACGCCCCGGCGGCCGGCGCTTGCGCTTGCGACGGAGTAGGCGCTGATTGAGGTGTCGTTGTGGCGGGAGCCTGCTGCGGCTGCGCGCGGCCGGTGCTGACGTCGTCCTGGGAGCCGAAGAAGAGCACGTTGGTGGGGAAGTTGGGCGACTCCTGGTCGGCCTCGGGCGCCTGGACGGGCGCGGGCGGCAGCGGCGGCGCGTCGACGGCGGGGCAGCGGCAGAGCGGGCAGGTGGAGTGCGACTTGAGCCACATGTCGACGCAGTCGACGTGGAAGCCGTGGCCGCAGCGGGGCAGCACGCGCGCCGTCTCCCCGGCGGCGAGCTCCGTGATGCAGACCGCGCAGTCCATGGCCTCGCCCTTGGCCACCTCCCGGCGGGGCAGCGACGCCATGGACGCGTCGTCGAGGCCCCCGTCGTAGAACCAGGGGGCGACGCCGTCCCCCGCCCCGGCCCTCCCGTCCCCGCCGCAGAACAGGAAGCGCAGGTGCGCCATCACGCCGCTCCCCGGCGGCGGCGGCGCCCCTCCCCGGGACCTCTTGGCGCAGAGGAATATGTAGAAGCAGAGCACGAAGGAGAGGAAGATGGCCATCACCGCCGCCAGCATGGTGGCCGCGGCCGCGGCCGTCGTCGCCGTCACCGCCATGTAACCACCCACCCCTCGAGCAAGAATCGCTTCGCCCTGGTGCAAACGACAGCGGCCGACCTCCCTCTTCTCGGTATCCGCTCCTCGTCCTCGCGAGCTTCTAGGCGGCGCGTGCGTGCGGGGAGAGAGTCGGTATATATTCAGGCCAGCGGGCTGTGGCTCGCGCTGGAGATGGATGTAAGAATGGGATTAACGTAATGGAGCGCGCGCTGCTACTTATACGGGGGCGAAGGGGATAAGAGGGAGGGGGAGGAGGAGGAGAACAAGACGGGTGTGGGGGCTTGGCGCGGGGGTTTGGAGGAGAAGGTGAGCGAACGGACGGACTGTGGAGGGAAAGCGAGGATGGCGACGGTTTTCAAAAATGTTGACGCGAGCAGAGCTGAGCAGGGCAGCCATGACCGGGGGTGGCTGGGTGGGTTTGTTCGTTGGACGGACCTCCCCGCCACGGACATCCCCGTCGGCCAATCTCCCGCGATGGCGTCGCCGGTGTCCGTTGCACGGTTGCACCAACGATGCAACCACAACACCACGTCGGTAAAACCCCTGAGATCGACCGGTCGACGCACACGCGGCCCCATACGTGGCGCCAGTTAAAATAATAAGTAAAAAAGAAAAAGCAGAGGCAGCCACTGACTGACTGACACACAGTGAACTGACACGATTCTGTTATTATATTACTCATTACTAGTTTATAGTGTTTGTACCCTGGTTGGATCCTGATTTTTTTTCTCTCGAACCCTGGTCTGGTTTGCTGCAGAACACACCGCCGGATCGAGGGACACATTTGGACGGACCCAACCGCCAGGGCCAGGAAACGTGGGCCGGATGCCGGCAGCGCGTGTCACACGCCGCCCGCCCGCGGCCGGTCCCGGCCGCATAGATAGCTTGACGTGGATACGCCGATCGATATGCTTGAAGCAAGCAACGGAGCTGGAGGTGCCCCGCCCCGGAATCCATCCATCCATCCATCGCAACGGGTGGACCACATCACGGGAGGTTCGTTGGTTCGTTCGGTATAGCGGTTTGTTGCCCCCTACCCCTGTCCCTTTCCCCTTCCGGTACGCGTCCCGGGTTCGAGATCGAATTCAATTCGAACCCGACCGGCGAACGAAGGAATGAGTCCGGTCCGTGTGGCTGTGGCATCGGCTCGGCGTTTCCTGGAAGCGACCGGAGGGGGGGACGGCGGCTTGGTTGAGTGCGGCTCAATCCTAAGCTAAGCAAGCCGCCTTATCTTACTTGGCTGGGAATTCCGGGAGAGTTGACCGGCATATCCAAGTGCCAAGCCATCTTCGTCTGAACTTCATTAATTAGCTTAGTTTGGATGGTTACTACTCGACGAGACGTCCTCGCGCCTCCGATGGGTGCGACCGATCGGACGCCACATGCATGTTCCTATACAACGCTAATAAGACTTCAGTTGATTTGATTAGTATTATTATTATCATCGCGGAAAATGACGTGAATCGATGAATGAACTCTCCGGATAAACCTGAACCGGTGCAGCCAAGTTGCCCATCTCTGACCCGTTGGGTTCGCTGTATCGGCGGCCGACTCGCCGTCGGGGTCAGGGGCGGCAGCGCGCACGCGGCCAGCCGGTTCGGCGTAGCGGGACGTGGCCGGCTGGCTGGCCGGCGCCCGGGCTTTGGCAGCGACGGCACGGGACGGACGGACGCGCGCGGGAAGCGGGGGAGGACAGCGACGCGCGGGGTCTCCGGCCCGGCCCCGTGCGCTGCCGCCTGCCTGCTGATGATGCCCATGATGATGATTCCGCCGTTGTTAAAAAATCTGCCTGGTGTCCGGTCCCTGGCTTTTGAACCAGGTCGGCTCAAACACCGGGGGAAAGCGCGCCACGCACGCGTCCATCATGCGGGACGCCGCGCGGGCGGGCGGGCGGGCGCTGATGCTCCTCCGTGGATCGCTGCCGCCTTTGACCGGCCTCAAAGCGGCTTTGTCATTCCCCGTTTCTCGACAGAAAGGGCGCCTTTTCTCCCGTCGAGAAAATTAATTAAACGAAAAGAGCGGGCGCCTTTCTTTCCTCCGGTAGTTTTGTGGTTCTAGTAGACAAGAAAAGAACACTGCTAGGGTGCCGAGCCTCTGAAATTCCGAGCATGCAGACCGAGTGATCGCGTGATTTCGTGCAACTTGGCTGCTGTTCCTTTTGCTGATTAGCGCTGCAATTTATGTGATCGCGTAGCACGCTGACTGCGCTTAACTTTCTTTTTGAGACAAGACTTCGAGCCTTAATTAAAGATAGCTGCTGCGGCCGATCGTCTTCACGAGCGGAGAAACGGCTGCATTTTGAATCCAACATGGTACGTACATGAGTTCGGCAGTTCCCCGCCAAAAAAAAAGTTGGGCACCGTGGGGGGCCTTCGAGCCCTCGTGCGGCCGACATGGCGCCACACGCGCTGGCCCAGAAGCCCCGAACCGAGGTACGTGCGCGCGCGCCCGGTCGGCCAGGAAGATTTTGTTGTGTGCTCCATCCATCCACACGACACTGACCTGAAGGCTCTGGCCAATACGATGGAGCGTACAGGTGTTAGGGCCAAGTTAACCGCACGCAAACGTGTCTCCGGTCGACCACCGTGCATGGGGACGGGATATTTCTCATCATCGACTCGGAGGGGAGACGATGCGGCACGCATCGGCTCGGGGCCACTCGGTATTCCCCTGCAGACGGAACAACGGACGATCACGACGGCTGCAAGTGCATATGAACGGGCGATAAAAGGGGATGCTTCGTTTATGCCGATCGATCACTCTTCCGTCGCACTGTCAGGGATGATGCGATTCTCCATCGACAGATGAGCGTACAATAAGAACGAACAGTGTGCTCCCGTGCACTCGTACGCTTTCAATATAGACACGGAAAGGCTACCAAAAACTGCGAAAATGCGCAGGGGCATTCACTTGCGGAAATGCCTGCAGTCATCCATCTGCGTCGTGATCCGGATTTTAGAGAGAAAATTGTTGAAAAATGGATGGAAATTCTTAACCGTCTGAATATGAAACAATATACGTGTTTATTTTGTATAGATACTTCTGTGGGCCCTACTTGTACACGTGTCTACCTGTGCGTATCCTAGATCCCCCGTTATGTTACAAACCTTATTCCACGAGTTCCGACAATTGTTCATCTTCTTCCTTCGTCCCTGTTGTCGGTGTCAAAACCAGCGGATCTCGGGTAGGGGGTCCTGAACTGTGCGTCTAGAATTGATGGTAACAGGAGGCAGGGACACGATGTTTACCCAGGTTCGGGCCCTCTTGATGGAGGTCCTGCTTGATTGATATTGATGATATGAGTGTTACAAGAGTTGATCTACCACGAGATCGTAGAGGCTAAAACCCTAGAGGCTAGCCTATGGTATGATTGTTGTATATATCTATCGATTAGCCTGGCCTCGGTTTATATAATGCACCAGAGGCCTAGGATAACAAGAGTCCTTGTCTTGATCACCAAGTTTTGTAGAATCTTTCATGTATGCGGCAGCTGTCCGAATTGGCCCATGAGTATACGGTCATGGGGGTCCTCGGCCCAATCTAACAGATCGGGAGATGACGTGGTGAGTACCCCCTAGTCCAGGACACCGTCAGTAGCCCCCTGAACCGGTCTTCAAGTTAGAGACGCTCCTCGATTCTTCCGAACTGTTCTTCATCTTTGGTTGTCGGTCTTGAAAACTGGTCCAACAAATCTTTCCATTTTTGATCTTGAGGATCGCCGAAATGCATTCGACGAGTTTACACGTCGGGTATCCGAGGAGCCCCTTTAAGTTTCCGGCCTTTATCAATGCCTTGTTAGTTTTATGCCACACCTCGGGTTTGAAGTTGTTCCCGGGAGGCAGTGTTCTCTTGCGCCCGAGCTCTAACGCCGGATAGCATTCGAGGTATCTTTTGCAGCCGAGCACTAATGCCGGACTGCTTCCGAGCTCCAACGCCGAAATATATTTGAGCTCCAACGCCGGACTGTGTCCAAGCTCCAACGCCGGACTATATCCAAGATGTCATAGATCATCTTGGTCCAAAAAAGTTGAAGGAGTTTAGCCGAGCTTAATGCTGGAAATGCCCTCTATGGAGCCAGCCACTAGGGCCCGAGCTTTATGCCGGACTGCTTCTGAGGTGGTGTACCACCCCGACTGTGGGCCGATTTTTTGTCAATATTTTTTATTGGTGCAATTTATTCTTTGCCGAGATATATAGCCAGTAGCCCCCAAGGTGTGTATCGGTTTAAAACCCGAGATGCACCTGAAGGATGACGTAAGACCGCTGATCCTAGTAGCCGCTGAGGCTCAGGTTGATTTGTAAAATCGGCCTGAGAATCAAGTCCTAGCTCGGCAGGATACTTCGGGACACAAAAAGCGGCGTGCTCAGTCCTCGAGACTCAGGTTGGGTGCGGCCGACCAACCTGAGGATCAAAATCTCCTCGGAAACTGTATTGCACTTAAAATTTTCTGCATTTGATAGGCAATGCAGTAGCCCCCGAGACACTGGTCGGGTGGCAACACCAGATCAGGGGATCGATGTGCCCCTTTAATATTTGTAAATAATAAGCCCAAAGCCCAGTAGCCCCCGAGCCTTAATGCGGGCACGGGTGGACAAATTAAGGATCAATATCCATAGTAAAATCACAAATTATGTGTAATGACTCTATGTATCCAAGTACTTTACGTCATTAATGCTCGGATCCGCATTGTACAAAACTTTGTTGACCGATCATCGGCTTCCACCTCCTCGGCCAGTAGCCGATGAGTGTTTGTCCTACTTTATAAAGCCTTTATGAGGGCAAAGATTTACGACAAACAAGGCAATCTGGCCATACGGTTTTATAAACAAAGGTACGCGGAGAGATATGTTATATTACGGTTTAACATAAGAAATGTCTTCCAAAGAAAATAGTCCCGCTATCAATTTCTTTCTTTGGGTTGTCATGCTAAGCATGATCATGAAACCTCAGCTCTAATGTAAAAGAAAATATCGAGGATTTAGTTTGGGAGGCCAGTTAA